GGCACATGCCCAGTTGTGGGCTCAATCCCCAGTATAAGGCATGCAGGAGGCAGTCAGTCAATGATTCTCTCTCATCGTTGATGTTTCTATCTTTCTCACCCTCTTCCTTCCTCTCTGAAATCAATCAAATATATATTTTAAAAAATTAAATAAATTTAGCAAGGATGAGGGATAAAGGTAATACACCAAAGCCAATTATACCCAGAATAGCCAAAATAATAAAAAAGAAGAAAAAAGTGGAGCACTCACACTTTTTAACTTCAAAACTTACTACAAAGCTGCAGTAATTAAGACAGTGTGAGTCCTGGTTGCAACAATAGACAGATCCATGGATTAGAATTGACAATCCAGAAATAATGGCAGAAAACTTTGCAAATAATATGTTTGATAAAGGATTTGATTTAGAATATATAAAGAGCTTCTACAACTCAGTCATAATGTGGCAAATAACTTAATTTTTAACAATGGGCAAAGAATCTGAAAATACATTACTCTCAAGAGTAATGTATATCCCATAAGCACATGAAAAGATTCTTGACATTATTAGTCACCATGGAAATGCAAATCAACACATATATGTTCACCCAATTGATGACAAAGGTGGCACTTGCAATACAGCGGGAGGCGGGGGAAAAGATGTTTTTCTGTGTTTTTTTTTTTTAAATAAATCTTTATTGTTCATATTATTACAAAAGTCCCTTTTTTCCCCCCTCTACCAGGTTCCCACCCCATCCTTTGCCCTTTCTCCACCCCCACCCCCACCCCCGCCCATTGTCCTCATCCATAGGTGCACAGTTTATGTTCAGTATCTTCCCGCATCCCCAATTCCTCTTTACCCCAAGAATCGTTAGTCCACTCCCCTTCCATACCTCTGATTCTATTATATTCAACAGTTAATATTGTTCATCAGATTTTTTAATTCCCTTGGTTTTAGATTCACTTGTTGATAGTTACATATTTGTTGTTCAAAATTTTTATCTTTATTTTCTTCCTCTTCATAAAGAACCCCCTTCAGCAATTCATATAATTCTGGTTTGGCAGTGATGAACTCCTTTAGCTTTTTTTTTTATTATTGGTGAAGCTCTTTATCTGGCCTTCAATTCTGAGTCTAGCTTTGCTGGGTAGAGTATTTTTGGCTGTAGGTTCTTGCTATTCATCACCTTGAATATTTCTCGCCATTCCCATCTGGCCTGCATGGTTTCTGTTGAGAAATCAGCTGACAATTGTATGGGTGCTCCTTTATAGGTAACTACCTGCTTTGCTCTTGCTGCTTTTAATATTCTCTCTTTGTCTTTTGCTCTTGGAATTTTAATTATGATATGTCTTGGTGTGGTCCTCTTTGAGTTCCTTTTTTTTGGGGGTTCTGTACACTTCCTGGACTTGCAAGTCTATTTCTTTCATCAGGTGGGGGAAGTTTTCTGTCACTATTTCTTTCAATATGTTTTTGGTATCTTGCTCTCTCTCATCTTCTGGGAACCCCATAATTCTGATGTTGGTTTGCTTGAAGTTGTCCCAGAGTTTTCTTACACTATCTTCAACTTTCTGGATTCTCTTGTCTTCTTGCTTCTGCGGAGGAGTGTCCTCTGGCTCTTTGTGTTCCAAATCTTTGACTTGATTCTTGTGATCTTCCATTCTGTTTTTAGGGCTCTGTATAATATTTTTTATTTCAGACAATGCATTCTTTATTTCTAGTTGATACCTTTTAATATCTTCATAGGTCTCGTTTATTTTATCAGCCTTTTCTAGGAAATTCTTGAAAAACCTTATAAGCATGGTTTTGAACTCCATATCCAGTCTCTTTTTGTCCTCCATTTCTTTCGTTTGTGATCTGTTTCCTTATCTTGGCATTTTCGCTGCTTCCCTGAGTTGGTAGGGTGGCTTTGTGTGTTAAGGTGTCCTATATGGTTCAGTGGGTCAGCCTTTCAGTTATCTGAGGTGGACACTCTTGGTGCCCCCTTTTGTGGACTGTGTGTACAGCCTTTTGTAGTTAAGTCTTGATTGTTGTTGGTATCACTGGGAGGAACTGATCTCCAGGCCAATTGGCTGTGAGGATCAGCTGTGTCTATGCTGGGAGACAGCCTTATTCAAAAGCCTCTGTGTTCACCTTGGATGGGGCAGAGTTTCAGGGTGGAGCCTACAGCCTTGGCTTCCTGTCAGCCCCACCCTATGAAGTTACTGAGTCTCAGTATTCCTCAGTGTCCTTTGGTACTCATTGCAAGCACCTCTAAGAGAAAGGTGCCCTTGAGTTTATTTGGGTTGACAATGTCAACTACTAAAGTTACATAATTTCCAGCCTCCATTGCACGTAGGTATGGCCATGCAGTAAGTTCTGGGAACTGAAGTATAAATAGAAATGTGTAAGACTTCTGGGAAGATTCCTTATGGAAAACAGAGCAAGCCCTCCTTCCCTTGCACCATATATGATTTATGATAATGAAAATGTCAGGGCTGGATCTCCAGAAGCTAAGTTGGACCTTGAGAAGGGAAGTCATGGGCTATAGGGCAGCAGAGTAATGAGATAAAAGACCTATAACCTATAACAGCCAAATATTGTCTAGCATCTAACCACGTATATGTGAGACATGATCTTCTTTTACAGATTACTATTATTTTGAGATTTCTGTCACATGTGCTTAACCAAGTTCTAACTAGTATAGACATAAATTGTCAGATCCAGAATGCCCAACAAATCCCATGCAATAAAAATAAAAATAAATTTATATTTAGATAACTTTGTTGTAAGATTGCAGAAAACTAGAGACAAATCATAAAGACAGAGAGAAAAGACAAAGAATGATAAACTATTGATGTGCATAAAAACAAAAGCCAATAAGTAGTTCAATGATATCTTCAAAATATTAAGAGAAAATAAATAACATTTTATATCTAGAGAAATTTTGATATGGAAACAAAAGAAAAATAGGTATTTTCAGCTAGAACTTTCCACCAATAGACCCTTGACTGATAGAACTTAAAAAAGATATACTTTAAAAATAAAAATGAGCCCTAACTGGTTTGGCTCAGTGGATAGAGTGTTGGCCTGCAGACTGAAGAGTCCCAGGTTTGATTCCAGACAAAGGCACATGCCTGGGTTGCAGACTCAATCCCCAGTTGGGAGCATGCAGGAGGCAGCCAATCAATGATTCTCTCTCATCATTGATGTTTTTATCTCTCTCTCTCCTTCTCCCAAATCAATAAAAATATATATTTTTTAAAATGAAAAAAGTGAGTTCAGAAGAACAATGTAAGGTGCCAGAAGGAAAAGTGAGCAACAAAATTTATAAACATATGGAGAAATATAAACAAACACTTGATCACATAAAATCATCATCATCTCTAATTGTGTGGTAAAAAAAGAACTAAATTCTGGGCAAACATAGCATATAATTTAGGAGAGAGTGATTTGAGTGAAAGTGTTCTAAGGCTTTTGTAAAATTAAGGTATTCTAAAGCTTTTGTATTTAAGGGAGGAGATTAAAGACATTAACTGCACAGATGCTATCAAAGTACAGAACTAAATAAATAGCGAGATATTCCGTGTTCATGGATAGAAACTCAATATTGTTGAGATACCAGCTCTTTCTAGTCTAATCTATAGATTAAATGCAATCTCAATCGAAATCCTAGCAAGTTATTTTGTAGATATTGACAAACTGATGCTAAAGTTTTTATGGAAAGACAAAAGATCCAAAATAGCCAACTTAATATTGAAAAAGAAGAACAAAGTTGGAGAACAGACACAACTCAACTTCAGGACTAACTATAAAGTTATAATAACTAAAACAATACAGAATTGGCAAAAGAATAGACAAATAAATTAATATATCAGAAGAGAGAGCCTGGGAATCCATCACATAAATTTAGTCAACCGATTTTTTTGGGGAAAAAATAAGACAATACAGTGAGAGAAAGAAGTCTTTTTTCTTCAACAAATGGCGGATTGGACATCTATATGCAAAAACTGGTTGCAGATACGGTCTTACAATCTTTATAAAAATTAACTCAAATGGATCAGAGACCTAAATGTAAAATGTAAAACTATAAATCTTTTAGAAGATAACATAAAAGAAATGGTAGGTGACCCTGGGTTTGGTGATGACTTTTTAGATGTGATACCAAAAGCATGATCCATGAAAGAACTGATAAGCTGGACTTCATTATAATTAAAATTGTCTGCTCCAGGAAAGACACTGTCAACAGAATGAAAAGACAACCCACAGCCCAGAAGAAAATATTTAAATATTTGCAGAAGACACATCTGTTATTCAAAGAACTGTTATTCAAAATATACAAAGAATTCTAAAAACTCAACAATAAGAAAATGACCCATTTTTAAAATGGCCTTATCAGACACCTCACCAAATAAGATATATATATATATATATATGTGTGTGTGTGTGTGTGTGTGTGTGTGTGAGAAACATATGAAAAGATGCTTCACATCATATGTCATCAGGGAAATGTAAATTAAAACAATTAAATACCACTCCACATGTTAGAATTTTCAAAAACCAAACACTGACAACACCAATTTCTGACAAGGATGTGGAGCAGCAGGAACTCTCACACATTGCTGGTGAGAATGTAAAATGGTAGAGCCACTTTGGAAGACAGGAGGCTTTTTACCACGTAACTTAACGTAAACATACCCTTACCATGGAATCAAGCTATGGTGCTCTTTGGTATTTACCCAAAGTAGATGAAAACTTATGTTCACACAAAGGCCTGCACAAGAATGTTTATGGCAGCTTTACTCATAATTTCCAAAACTTAGATGCATCCTAAATGTATAAACAAACTGTGGTACATTCCAGATAGAATATTATTCAGTGTTTAAAAAAAAGAAAAATGAGCTGTCAAGCTATGAAAAGAAATGAAAGAACCTTAAAAGCATATGACTAAGGGTACACACTGTATGATTCCAACAACATGACATTCTTGAAAAGTCCAAACTATGGAGGCAGTAAAAAAAAAAAAAAAAAAAAAAAAAAAAAAAAAAAAATCACTGGTTTCCAGGAGCTGGGGGTGATGGGGGGATAAACAGGTTGGAACACAGAGGATTTTCAGGACAGTCAAACTACTCTATCAGATACCATAAGGGTAGATACATATCATTATACATTTATCCAAACCCATAGAATGTAGACCAATAAGAGAGAACTAATGTAAACACATCAGCATAAAATCAATAATTGTACCCCTCTGGTGGGGGGGTGCTGATATTGGGGGTGGCTGTGCATGTGTGGGGTCAGTGAGTATATGGAAAACCCCTTTACCTTCTGCTCAGTTTTGCTGTGCATTTAAAACTTCTCTAAAAAATTGTTGATTTTTTTTTTAAAAAAGAGAAAAAATTATAAAAGCAAGGAGAAATTAGCTCATTCATGATCATAATGGGATATGTTAATACACCTGTGTGTAATTTACAGACCAGGCAGATAAAAAACAGAAGTTAGTGAGAATATTGATGATTTGAACAACACAAATAATGCTTGACTTACATAGAACTCTGCACAAATCAAGTTAGGAAAACATTCTTTTCAAGCACCCAAGATATATCCCGTAAAAATCAATCACCTACAAGTATATAAAGCAAATCTAAAGAAGGTTGAAAGCATCAAACATACGGATCACATAGATTCGTACAGATCCCATTGTCTAGCAAGAACAATGAAGTTAATCAGTAACAACAAAAAATCCAAAGATTTGAAAATTAAAACAGATCGTCTAAATAACTCATGCCGTAGGTCAAAGGAAAACTGATGGTCTGAGGCTCCAGACTTTCATGGGTGGAAACAACTAGTGACAAATCTCTGATGGGAGGACTGAAGAGTCTGTAAGAAAAGAGGGCCTACTGCTGAATTTGAAGTTGCTTTTACTCTTTCAGCATTTTCTGGATAAAGAGGACCCTTCTTATCCAATACTCATCTGTCAATTATGATTGGCCCTGCTTAGGTCCCATGTCCATAATCGAACCAATCCCTCTGGATAGAGAAACAGGGACTTGATTGGCCAGCCTGGGTTGGGGTCTATCTCTGTGTAATGAAAACAGGGGTGGGAGTGTTTTTTAAAGTGTGTGTGTGTGTGTGTGTGTGTGTGTGTGTGTGTGTGTGTGTGTGTGATTATTTCAGAAAGAGAAAGGGTGAGGAAGAAAGATAGAAACATCAATGGATTGCCTCCTGCATGCCTCCTCCTGGGGATCAAGCCCACAACCTGGGCATATGCCTGACCAGGACTGGAACCACAATCTCCAGGTGCAAGATAAGATGCTCAACCAACTAAGCCACAAATGGTGGGGTGGGTGGGAGTGTCTTGACTGCTAGAGTCTCCAAAAGCTCATGGAGTTAGAAGGAAATCCTCCCTGGGAAGATAGCTTGACAAACAAAATCACTCTTCCTCCCATAAATAGAATGCTATAAACGCCCCTTGATTAGCATAACACAATGACTTTATAAACAAAAGCTATAAAAGCCAAAATCATGCCCTTCATGGATTTGGCAGCGCACAGCTAAAAGATAAGTTTAACCACCCTCACATTCCCAGGACCCAGTGACAAAGGGAAGACAGAGACATTGCTCTATGTCTCCCATTAAGCAACAGGGAGAAGGGAAAACTCAAACACTCCATGCTCTGCAGCACAGGGACAGGGACAGCCCCAGGCAGAGCTGTCAGTCTCTGGGTCAGCCCACCTACTAGGACACCCTTGCTGAGGATTTCCACGGCCATTTCTGGGGGCGGTTTGGGGGATGGAAGACTCCCCACCAGGGGTTGGTTGAGTGGCCACTTCCTCTCAGCAAAATTGCAGGGCCTGGGGCTTGCCTTGGGGTCTGGAGCAATCACAGACCCTGTTCATCAAGCTAGGGAGTTTCTGGAAATAGAATATCCCCACAATTCTAGTGGATGCATGTTCTATTTGAGTCTACAAACTATTAGCTACTAACTAACTCCAGAAGTCTCTTCGTGGTCATGGTCCTTGAACTGAACTTGCCCTTGCGGTTTCTGAGATAAGCACAGTTCCTTTGGCCTTGTGCTCAAACTGAGGGCTTTCTTCTGGACTTGAAATGAGAAACAGAGCTAATGGGACCCCTACCTCCAGTCTACATCCCAGTGCATCTGGGAAAAGAGAGTTTATTAGCTCCAATTACAGGCTATATCCAGGATCTGGCTTTAGGCACAGCTAGCTGTTGTGACAAACAATACTGTCAAGGTTCTGTCTTAATCTCTCAGCCTGCTCACCTCTGCTTGGCCTCCTGCAAAATAAGTCTGTGTCCTTAGGTCGGGAAAGATGGCTCCTAGAGCCCTCAGGTTTATACCCTTTCAAATCAGTAAACAGCTAAGAGAACATCTCTCCCATATCGATCACAGGTAACTCTCTTATTGGTTCCTCTTGCGTTACAGAGCCATGTCTGTGGCCATGTGGGTGTGGCACTTTGGCCAGCCAGAGTCAGATACCCGCCCGGTTGTGAGGGTAGGAGATGGTGCTGGGCACTATGATTGGCAGCTCTGTAGGGGTTATCTGGAGTGGGGTGAAATGCTCCCAAGGAAGGGATGCTGGGTAAGCAAAGGCAGGAAAGGTCCGTCATAGAGGTGCAAGCGTGGAAATGAAAGCCAGAGAGGAGGATAAAGCCTGGGGAGAAACTCTACAAGAGTTCATTCATCATAAGGGACCTCCAGGGTGACTCCGAGTTTCCTGACAATGAAAGCCAAGACGGAAATATGATCAGTGATGCAAACCAGATGGGAGCTGAGGTCCCCAGGCCTGGGGGAGGTTCAAAGCACATCCTGAGTTCCCTCCGTCTCCCTGGAGGCTCACTTTCTCAGAGATTACGATCCCACAGGGCCACCTCTGTTCCCCATCACATGGCTCCCAGATGGGAGGCCTACTTTTCCTTTGGCTTCTATGCACACAAAGTAGTTAGTGAAGATTTTCAGAGGAAGACAACGCCGTGGGGCTGGAGGGTGGTCTTCCAATGTCCTTTGGCCCCTGTTACAGGCTGCCCTGCGCTCCCCAAAACCTATCTGCTGAAGTCCTATCTCCCAGGACCTCAGAAAATAACTGTATTGAGAGAGAGAGAGTCTTTCAAGATACAATTAGAATGAGGTTGGTGTGGGTGGGCCCTAATCCAGTATGACGGCTGTCCTTATGAGAAGAGGAGATGAGGACACAGACAGCACAGAGGGAAGACGCTGTGAGGATGCAGGGAGAAGCAGCCATCTACAAGCCAAGGAAAGAGGCCTTAGAAGAAACAAGCCCTGCCGACACCTCAAACTTAGACTTCTAGCCTCCAGAACGGTGAGAAAATAAATTTCTGTTGTTTAAACCCCAGTCTGCGGTGTTTTGTCATGGCAGCAAATTAATCCAGCCCCTCGCCTGCCATTTTACAGGACTCTCTTCCTACTCTTCGCCTGGCTTCCCTGAATTTCCTCTCCTCCTTCTCAGAGGCCAGATTCTCTCTTGGTCTCAGGCAGAGCTGGCTGCACCTTATCTTGAGTGCGTGGCCTACAGAAACACCCAGTTCTCCCGGCTCCTACTCTGGTGCCTTCAGCTTATCAAAATATTTCCCTAAACAAGGACTGCTTCCTGCCTAAGAAAAATCCTGCCACCCGCAATTAACATCAAAACATTTCCCCTCGTGTTCGCAATATGCCTGTGCTGGAGACCATGCCTGGGTGAGAGAAGTGCTCCCGAAATCCTCCTGGAAACCCTCAGGAGAAATATTTTTGTGACAAACCAGAAAGATATCAAGAGCAAGAAAAGTCAAGTCGTTTTTTAGACTCAACAGAGCACGTTAAAGTGGGAAAGGGTCCAATAAATCCTATTGTTTAGGAAATAATCTATCTAGTAAAGAGCTTCTAAATCAAAGGAAGGAAAAGGAGAGACAGGAAGAGGAGGGAAAAAAGGAGGCTTCTTCCCCAGGGGTCTTACGGGAGCGTCTGGAGCCTCCCCTCAGTGCCTGAAGCACCCCCCGAGCCTTCAAGCTTTGAGCCTCCTTTGTTACCCTTTGCTGGCCAGCCGTGGTCCCTGACACAGCCTTCCTTTTGCTGGAGCTGCCCTACCCTGAGCTGGTGTTTTCTCTCTGGCCAAGTAACCAGACCCAGCCTCCAGATGCCCCTTCCTCTTCGCCCTGGGACAATCTCACATTCCAACTAACCTCATCTTCTTTTTTTTTATTTTTAATATATTTTATTGATTTTGTACAGAGAGGAAGGGAGAGAGATAGAGAGTTAGAAACATTGATGAGAGAGAGTCATCAATCAGCTGCCTCTTGCACACCCCCCACTGGGGATGTGCCTGCAACCAAGGTACATGCCCTTGACCGGAATCGAACCCGGGACCCTTCAGTCCCCAAGCCGACGTTCTATCCATTGAGCCAAACCGGTCTCGGCAAACCTCATCTTCTTGTCCCTCAGGTTGTCCCTCTGGACACAGGGCATCAGCAACCAGTGATATGCGAAGGTGAGAGTGGTGGCACCTATGTCACTGGGAAGTCCCTGCCAGGGCTGTCTGGGCACGCACAGCTGTTTATTGCAGTTGTGGCAGCAAATCCTTTCTCTCATGTTTTTGGTTTATTTCCCCCCCCCCCCCCCCCAAATGCCAAGTGAAGTATGGTAGCAACCATACTTGGGTAAAAACTGCTGTTTGAATTATAGCCCTGCTGTTCTGGCTGCTGCACTCACTTATCGATACTTGCTTAAACAATAGCTTCCAGATTGAGACCTGGAAACTCACAAAGGTAACGTTCCTGTGCCTGTGGACCAGGACCACAGGAGATTGATTCCCATCGACTCAGTAGCTCCAGGAGTTGGAACTGCAGATAACCTTTAGAGATTAACTTTGCTCAGTTCCGCTTCTGTACTATCTGCTATCGCAAGATAGGGCCACATTTCAATGTCCAGCAGGATGTGGCTGGGAACTACCCTGTGAGCTGTTCCCAGCCTTTAGAATTTAGAATTTAGAACAAAAGAAAATTTTTGTGGTTTAGACCTTTAAAAGGACTGCCTACACCTGGAACAGTGCAGTGATGAGTGTGGACTCCACCTGTGTGGTGCTCTCACGGCTGTCCTGGCCAGTTCAATAAATCCTTGCCTGCTTTTTTAATCAATTAGCAGCCTCCGATGGTCTTATTTTGACTCCAGGGTTCGACCCCAAACACCAAGCACAGAGGCAGTCACATAAGAATTGTCTCATGAGCCGAAACTGGTTTGGCTCAGTGGATAAAGCCTCGGCCTGCGGACTGAAGGGTCCCGGGTTCAATTCTGGTCAAGGGCATGTACCTTGGTTGCGGGCACATCCCCAGTAGGGGATGTGCCAGAGGCAGCTGATCAATGATTCTCTCTCATCGATGTTTCTAACTCTCTATCCCTCTCTCTTCCTCTCTGTAAAAGATCAATAAAATACATTTAAAAAAAAAATTGTCTCGTGAATGTTTGCCACAAAAACACTACCACCTATTTTGGTAGAGTCTCTGCCTCACCTCTAGGGGCCCCTGGTGGTGGTGGTGGTGGTAGGGGGTTGAGGTGAGGCCATTTGGTGGTGGTTGGGCTCTGACTCCAGCCCTGGGACATATGATAGAAGCTGAGGCAGTGTTCTTCCTGTTTCCTTCTGCATGCCACAAGCACGTGCTTCTGAGTTGCTTTCCTCCTGTTTCACAAAAACTGTGAGGTTTCCTGGCTGACCTGTCAGTTCTCCCTCCACACAGAGGGGAGGAACCCCTGGAATCCAAGATAGCAATGCCACTTTGGATCCCAGACAGAAAACCCCAAGAACAGCTCTAATGACCTTGATTTTGGGTCAAGGTAATTGGCTTCATTGTTGTGCCTGGTAATCTGACCCAGATAGACCATCCGCTTCTTACCCCGGGACACAGACCACAGCTCTGACAGGCTGTGACACCCACGGGATGTGGAAGGAGAGTAACCACACAAACCTGCGCTGGGCACGGCTGCCTGTGAGGAGGCTCTGCCGCCGAGAGCTTGCTCTCATTTCCTCTCACTGCTCTCCAGGATATTTGGCCACCCTTTAAAGAGTGAAGAAAGGGCCTGAAGAGGCCAGGGGCTTGCCCAGTACCACACAAAGTGGCCTTTGTGCTCCTGGTCAGTGCTCTTTCCACACACACGGGCCACGGGGTCAGGAGGGGTGGGAACATCTTGTGTTCTCTTGACACTCACTCCTTCCCAGTGGGTCCCGCTCTCCCCCGCTCCTGGACACGGAGGGCAGCACTCACCTGCCATCCTGCTGGCACAAGACTCACTGGATTTGAGTTTGCAGAGGAGAGACAAGACAACCCCTGTATGTGTTGCCCATTCTTGGTCCTGAGAAAGGGCACTTGAGGCAGGAGCAAGGCCTACGGAGTTCTTGGCACAGGGTGAATGGGAATAACTGGGTGGTGGGGTAGGGTGCCTTATCCTTGCCTTGAGGAGTCTAAGTAGCTCCTGTTCTGAAGTGTTTACTTAGTCAGGAAAGTGTGCACGAAGAACAAAAAGGCAAAGGTAAACAGCGGCTACACTTATACACAGTTAAGAACTTGCCCATCTGCAAGTTCTGGTGTTTCAACATAGTTTTAGACGCAAAGTAGGATTGTAACCCTCATTACTTCCCCCAAATTGAATCCGAGGGCTGCCTTTGTCAGAGAACAAAGCTCTGGCTTTCAGACCTCCTGGGGCCCCGTAATGAATGTCTTCTGTGTCCATTGGAGGGCTGCTCCTGGCACGCCTTCTCCCTGCTTAGATGCAGCTTGCATCGACTGGCACAATATTAGGGGTTTTCACCCACACCACCTCATACAATTCTCCCAGCCAGCCCATAAGACTGGTTCATTCTCTTGACTTCAGAGATGAGGAATCTGAGGTTTCCGTGGTTCAGTCACTTGTCCAAGATGAGCAGATAGCAAGCGGCTCCCACGGTGCTAGCCAACATCACACTGACATGTGTAAACATGACACACGTCCAACAAGGTCAGGACCTTTCCTAGCCCCAATGATCTTGTTTATGTTTTCCTTACTACT